GATCAAGCAGCGTTTAAACAGCTCTAAACACACATGTGAGAGACAGCAGATGCACTTTTTCACTGGAGGAAGAGTTTTCTGTGTTTCTCTCATGGTGTGGATCAGAGAGGGATTTCCCGACGCTCCTCTGGTCTCAGATCCGGTCTCTGCTGACGGATTCGCTCATGTGTGTCCAGGGAGGGAGAGAACCGAGACAGATGAAGCTCGTATGATTCAGTGTCATTTTAAAAGGCCAGTGAAGTTATTGCTGTTTTATTTTCAGGATTCTTATTCTAGTTTTTCTTTGTCTTTCTGACAGTACACTGCAAATGAAATAAAAGAGATGGACATTTATATAATTGGCTGCAGATTCTCTTCAGCTCTTCATTTCTTTCTTTCATCGCTCAATTAATGGTTCAGAATGAGTCTGTGTCTTTCCCTTCATTATGTTTTCATGGAGAGTTGCGCTGCCCTGCTGGACGCCACAAGAGGACACAATATAATCAATATAATATATATATATACTTTTTTTTTTTTGCAGACACACCTTTTACAACATTTGTACACTTAGAAGATGCTTTTATCCAAAGCGACTTACAAAAGAGGAACATAAGCAATCAGTCAAGGCGTCAGCAATATTCATGGCAGGTTTGTGGAAGGCTGTGATGTTCTCAGCGGATCGGGGGAGCTTTGCAGCAGAGAGGGTCTGTGAGATGACTCTGGGACACACCGCGTGATTTAGGATTCAGTATGTTCAGCTTCACATGTTTCTGGGGTCACACACATGATGATGATGATGGTGTGTGTGTGACGTTCTCTTGCTCCTGTTTGCCATTATTTCTCATTACTGCCCGTGTCTGTTTGTCTGTTACAGCATTTAATATGCAAATATATTTTTCAGTGTTATGATGCTATTTGAATCTTTTCCAGATTTTTCACTAATATATGTGGAGAAACTAACCTACTAAACACTGAGGAAAGCTTTTGTGATGAGTGTGTGTGTGTGTATGAGAGAGTGTGTGTGTGTGTGTGTGTG